GCTGCCACTGCGTGCTGCAGAAATAACACTATTAATATTCCCACAGTGCATGCATTATGCATGGGGCCTAATTAATTAATGGACAGCCCTTAAAATGGGGTGTCATAGCTCCTGGCTCCCTCTCCTGCATGGGACCAAAGGGACATTTTGATGCCCAGGACCCTTGAGTGGGCTGTTTGCTGCCCTGTGGCCTTAAGGACATCCCTTGGATGCTCCTCAGTGAGGCCACCATGCACTGCCACCCACAAGGATCTTGTGGCCCAGTGACAGAAACTGCCCTCTGGGGGAGATACCTGCTCATTAAGAAGTAAAGGCCCCAAGACTTGGGAGGCTGAGGCAGGAGGATTGATGTGAATTCAAGGCCAATCTGGGCTACATAGAAAGACTCTGTCTGAAAGAAAGAAAGAAAGAAAGAAAGAAAGAAAGAAAGAAAGAAAGAAAGAAAGAAAAAAAGGTTCTGAGAAATTTTGCAGGGAACACAACTGATCATCCCTCTGTCCCACCACCCTGGCCTGTCCCCCTGCTATGGCCTGTCAGCCTCCTAAAAGCCTGTTATGGAGGATTGAAAACCTCCATAAGCCTCGCCCACCCCAAAGGCACGGCCTCCTCCCACACCTCCTCCAGGGAGGCCTGGAGCTAGGCAGCCTCCATGAGCTAGGTGAAGGCCAAGTTGGGCTAACCTTTGGAGGGATGAGCAATGCTCCTGGCCCTGTCCTTCCCCGGGGCTAGCTTGTCCTCATCCCAGTGGGCTGAGACCTTCTTCTTCCCAGGGAAGCCCTTTAAGCTCAGTTGACCCAAGTGAAGCAGGAAGTGGGGAATCAGAGGGGGTAGGCTGGGGTGGGGTGGGGGTAGGGAGGCCCGCTGTCAGGGTGTGCTGTCGCCAGCCCACACCCCCAAGGACAGCTGAGCAACCAGGCCCAGCCATCAAAAGAAAATCCAGAACCCTGTCCCTGACACTGTCCCCTGCCCTGTCATAGCCCTGTGGGCAGGAACTGGGTTATTCAGCATGTGCTCCCTGAGGACCTACTGTGTGCTGGGGATGCAGCAGCACCTCTGTCTGAGCTCACTGGATGGTGACTGGAGAGAAGGGGTAGGCAGCTGGGGGCAGCAGGGACAGGCCTCAGGGGATGCTTGAAGCAGTATGGGGGGTCAGGTCAGGGGACATCTGAGAGGACGATTTCCAGGTGAGAAAGCAGCGTGTGCCAAGTTCCTGCGGTAGGAGCCTGGGGAAGGGGCAGGTGGGAAGGCCTTGCTCCACTCCTGAGGGAGGTGGAGCTGTGACCTGATCTCACCCAGGGAAGACCTGTGTGGAGGGTGTGTGGGGGGCCTGGGAGTGGGTCAGGGTCACCCGGGAAGGCCCCGGGGAAATTGGGCCAGAGAGGACAGTAACTGGGCCAGGGGTGGCTGAGGAGGTGGTGTGTGCAGTGGCTGTCTCCTACTTGTAGGGAAACAAGGTGGCGAGAGCCCAGGGACAGGGGTAGAGGCCTGCAGCTTGCAGGACCATGTGGGGGTGTGGGGACTGGGAGTTTAGAGTTCAGTTTGTGGACGCTGGACCTGAGGTCCCCAGAGCCACCAGGGAGGACCTGGACACAGAGTCCACTTGGGAGTGGTGAGGGATGGGTATATGGGACAGGTCTGCAGTATTATTTCAGTGTCATGGGGTGCAGAGATGAACAGGACATCAGGACAGGGCAGGAGGTGCTGCTGGCAAGGTCACGGGAGGGAGTAACCTTGGTCTGGGGCTCTAGGACAATGGGGATGATGACAAGCAGCTGCTCTGGGCGTCTGGTGCAATGCGTCCTGTCCCGTCCTATGGGAGACTGCCTGTTTGTGGTCAAGGAGCTGAGGAAGAAGGAATCAGGCTCAGTGACAGGGGCAGACTCAGCACCCAGTGATGCCACAGGAGTAGGTGGAGCCTATGCCATGCAGGGTTGGGGGCATAGAGTAGGTGACCCTAACTGGGGTCTTGGCTCTGGGCGAGGGAACTGGGCACTTTCATGTGGCACAACTGCTCAGCACAGGCCAACAGGCAGAGGACGAGACTCCCCAGAAGCCCACCTCGAAGAGATCTGGAACAGAGGATGCAGGCTGGGAGTGTGCCCCCAGGGGACACTGTGCAGACACAGGTCTCTGGGCTCCCAGCCTCTCATGGGGGACAAGGACCTCCTGAGGGACACCACCAGAAGGATGGGAATAACAGTGTGGGCTCAGTCTCCCCTCGCGAATGTCCTTGTCCAGACAATAGGGGCCCAGTGGACAGTAGTAGATGTTTTGCACTGCACAGGTCCAGAGATAGCTCCTGGGACAGTCACACGAGTGCCACCTGCAGGGCTGCACAGGGCACAACCTTCAGCCGGCACCTCCCCTTGAGGTCCTTTCACAGCTTCCACGCTGCCGCTGCCGGAGAACCTGCCTCTGCACAGGTGGACGTGGCCTGCCCCTCCTCCGGCCCCTACGGCCTCACCTGTGAACAGGGAGGTCACCAACTAAGTGGCAGCAAAGTGGGGGGGGGTGCTCAGGGGCCCACGGGGTGACATCAGGGTGGATGGTGCTATGCTGGGCAAGGGTGTGGGCAGGGAGATGTCACTTGGTTTTACATTGATGTCCCTGTGAGGCATAAGGAGCAGAGTGATGCAGGCCTTGCTTTCTTCTTTTGGTGGCTTCTGAATTTTCTACAGTAAATAACTACTTTGTTCATGGGAAAAATCCTATCATTAGTCTCAGCCATCTCTCTGTGTCTCTGTGTTTCTTTCCATCTCTCATTTACTTCTGTCTTTGTCTGTGTCTGTCTGTCTTGTCTCTGTTTGTCTCTCTCTCTCCATCTCTGTGTCTCTGACTCTGTTGGCGGAGTCATCAAACTCTCTAAATGGCTGAGATCTAGAGCCCCCTCCCTGTCCCTGGAGCCTGTCCAGCTCACACAGCCCTTCCCTGTTCCTCATCCTGGCCTCAGGTGTGAGCATAGTATGCTGTATTTATTAAGCACCTACTATGTGCCTGGCCATGGGGAACCTGGAGGGCAGAGCTGTGATCTCCCTGTAGACAAGGACCCTGAGGCTGGGGTCAGGACATTCATACAGGAAGGTGACTAGATATCAGGCTACTCCTTATGTGGGGCCACTTGGGCTATTTAACTTTGATGGAGGACTGTCACTGGGCTCCCGGGCCAGATGCTGGCCTGGTAGAGGATGGTTGAAATAAGACTTCTCAGGGAGGCTGGGCCAGAATCGTAGTCACTGCTAGGAACCAGTGTGGCTGAGAGTGCAGGCTGGGGCCCCTGGTGATGGCTGGGGGACATGGCTGCCACTGTTGCCCTGCACAAAGTCCATCCCCAGCTCCACCTCTGTCCTCTGTGCTTCTGTGTCTAAAGGTGAGGCTCCCTGTGTCTGACTAGGGAGGTTCTGGGGGCAGAATCACAAGGAGGGGTGGGGTTAGGTCAATGTCAGATGGGGGTATAGGTCCAGGGAGGAGCAGAGTAGGACCAGAAAGCCTTCAGTGGCCCCTGAAGGGCTTGGTGAGGTTCTGCAGGAGGTTATGCACCAGCAGCCCACAGGCTGGGAGCCCAAGGCAGGGTGTGGCAGGGAGAGGCAGTGATCAGTGATAACCCTGGCTCAGCAGGTCCCGCTCAGAGCCTGATAAGAGCCTGGACTTTATTCACAGGGACCTAGTGGGGGGCTGCTCAGACTGGTTGCCAGATGGGTAGCTGGAAGCCTGGCCTTGTGGGCTTCGTGGATGGTGACAGTGGTGGGCATGGGCTGGGGTACATAGGTTGGGTGTCCTGGCTCTTGCTTTGGGGGACCTAGAAAAACATGCTGCGTAGGGTACTGGGGGACCACCAGGCACTGTTGGCAGGGGAGACTGATGGTGGAGTGATTTCTTCAGTGCAGCTGCCCTCCTGGGAAGAACCCACTGCACCCACCCACGTCTTCCCCCACCCCAACTTCCTGGTCCTGACTAGCTTTTCTGGTTCTCCTAACTGCTGCCTGGAGGGTGAAGAAAAACCTGGTTCTGGGACCAGCCCTGCTGAACTGGCACTTTGCCCAGTGTCCCTTTTCTGACACTAGGCCAGTCGCTTTGGCTGGGTAGGGCCAGGGTGACAATCCCAGGGCACTGGGCAGCCCCTGTAGTCCAGCAGCTGCTCACATGCCCCTTGAGACAGGGAGCACCATTCACACAGGTGCTCAACTGCTGGGCAGCAGGCCTCCACATGCAGGCGTCCGCTGTGGCTTAGGGTCACAAGACCTCAGTGTCTGCTCCTTCCCTTGGGCACAGAAGAGCTGCCCTGGCTCTGTGCCAGGGAGTGAGTTTGGGAAAGCACTTTTTGTGCTAAGGGCCTTGCCGGAACAAGCCCTGGGTCCTGGCTGGAGGGCAGGTGATCTGACATTTCCTTCAGTCCAGGCCACAAGGCCACAGACAAGGTTACCGCACAAGTGGGGAGGGGACACTGTGGGCATGCGTGGGTCACTCCCTCAAGAGCTGTGTCTGAGTGGAGACCTGAAAAGCACCGGGGCAAGAAGTTCCGGACGTCCTCAACATCTGGTCGAAGTTTTCTCTTTTGTCAGTGCCCTAAATGAACAGTCAGAGAGAGAAGCAAGACCAGGAAGTGCCCTGACACCCTGAAACAAGGTGCCCGCTGCTCCCCAGGAGCTTGAGTCTGCTCCAGTTTGTCTCCGGGTTAGTCAGTAGGCGTTTCCCTCCCACTTCTCCTTGGCCTGCGGGTGGCGTGCGGCATTACAAAGAAAGGAAATCAGAAGCCTCGGTTCTGCAAGTTGCCCCGCCCCAGAAGCCCCTCGCCCCTCGCCCCTCGCCCCTCGCCCTAGCCCAGATTCTGAAGGCAGTGGGCGTGCCCTAGGCGGGGGAACCAGCTATACCCCGATACGCCACCCAAGTGGCGCGGGGGCGGAGCCTTGTGGATCCAAGGTCTGGGGGCGGGCTTTTATGGGCGGAGCTTGCGTGCAGCGGGCGCGAAAGGGGCGTGGCTCTCAGGGGGCGGGGTCGGCGGCGGCTCCAAGCTCCGCGTCCGGCTCGCGGGCCGCAGTCTTGGTTCCTGCGGTCGCCACACTTGGCCCGCCGGCCCCCGTCGGCAGTGCCCGGTGTCTCCGCGCGCCTGCCGTCGGTATTGTTCGGGCTGGAGCAGTGTTGGGAGCGCTCCGCGCGCCGCCGCCCGCATGGCTGCCATCAAGGCGCTGCAGCAGTGGTGCCGGCAGCAGTGCGAGGGGTACCGGGACGTGGACATCACCAACATGACTACCTCGTTCCGCGACGGCCTGGCCTTCTGCGCAATCCTGCACCGCCACCGGCCTGATCTTATGTGAGTGCCTGTGCCTCGCTTGCTCCCTTTGACTCTGCTGCAGGTTGCCCACACATTTGGGGAAACTGAGACTTAAGGCGCAAATCTTGGGGATACTGCTTGGACCCTGGCAGAGCAGAGTGCCCTAAGTGCAGCCCTCCTGTGGCTTCGAGTTGCCATACACCAAGTGCAGCTGGGCTGTGACTGGAGGTGGCGGTCTTGCACGCTTAGTCAGTGGTGACTCAGGCAGCGCCCCAGCTCCTGGGAAAGGGCAGACAGAACTGCTCTCTAGGCTCTGGAGACCCCATGATGCTCTGGGGTCTAACCACAAGACCAGGGTCATTGGAGGCATCCATTGTGGGGACTCCCCATCCTGACCTGCCCAGGCACCGTGGGCAGTTCAGGGTTCATTCATGGAGCCCCAGATACCAGGTTCTGCACTTAGGATGATACGGGATAAGATACAACTGCAGGAGGTGGCAGGAGCTGGGGCTGGTCCCTCTCCTCTGCAAGGGTTTTTGGCATGGGTGTCAGGGCCCTACCCTTGATGCCACATGTTGGCTCAAGCCTGAATCTGTTGTATTCATGCCCTATGGCTGAATGACTGGGACCTGGCTCTCAGGGACAGATAGCTAACCTGGACTGGTGGAAAGATGCCTAGGAAAGAGGCCCTCAGAAGGCCCAGGAACCTTCTGGGAAAACGGCTGCTCTGAGAAGTAGTGGTAGCATCCTGGACTGGGGTAGGGTGTGTTTGCTGAAGAGGTCTTGGCATTGGGAGAAGAGAAAGGCAGCGCTTTCTTAAGCTGGCCTTTATTAGGCCCTTTGCTGTGCAGACAGGGAAACTGAGGCCCAGCAAAGATCCCTTGTTTGGGTCAGCCTGAGTCAGGGCCAGGATCCAGCTCTTCCCGTTACCAAGCTCTCTTCTTACTGAGAAGCTAGACTCTTGAGCAAGAGGCCTGGGCTCCTGACCCAGGTTGTGAAACGAGTTTGTGGAGCTGCCGTTATGTGTGTGTGTGTGTGTGTGTGTGTGTGTGTGTGTGTGTGTGTTTCCACATGGTCCTTGGGCAGTGGCCTCTGCTTCTTGCGAGTACACCCTCCACTGGGTCTGAAGAGCAGGCATTGGAGCAGCATGTGCTGCCACATCAAAGGCACGAAGCCAATCTTTGATGGATGATGACCTGGGAGTGGGATGGCTGAGGAAGGACCTGGAGTAGGGAACTCAGTGGCTAGGTTCCCTAGGGTACAGGATCCAGGGTGCAGCTGGCTGGTCACTGGACCCAGGCAGCCCAGAAGAAGCTAGTGTGACAAGTCTTAAAGTGGACAAGAAGATAGTGCTGCTGCCTGATGGCCCTGTAGCCTGGGGCGGGTGTGACTAAACATAGGAGGGCTTTCTTGCCCGGGAGAGCTTTCATCTGCTCCTAGCAGCATGTGTGTGTGTGTGGCCTGGCACACAGTATCCATAGGGGCAGAGGTGTGCTCACGTGTGTATGTGCTTAGTGCTGGCACAAGCATGCTCATATACCTGAACCATTCACTTAACTGACAGTTTCTAAGTGCCTGCTCTGTGTGCAAGATCCTAGTCCCAGAGATGCAGAGTGTTTAAGGGTTTAAAAGTGTTTAAAAACAAGACTACTCCGGAAAGGCTAGGGGCTGAGACAGGAAGGAGACTGGAAAAAGAGGTGACTGGCCACAGTTATGCTGGGATGATGATGTTGACTTTATGGCTGGTCATCCCAAATGCAGGGGTGGCTCTTACTCATCCATGTGTGGAACCCTGCTAGGTGGCTATTTGTGCACAGCTGGAGCTTTGCAGATAAGAGCATGCAGGTAGAGCTCAGTAGATGTGGTAGGAGCTCTTGCTTATGTGCAGTAAGGAGGGAGACCATATAACCAAGGAACAGAAATGGGGCCATGAGATGTCCGGAGCACTGAGAAGCTGGAAGAGGGAGGAAGGACCTTCCCCTGGCCACTCACCTCTGATGTGGGACCTGTGGTCTCCAGACTCCCAGGGAGCAGTTTCCCATGTGAAGCTTCCATTTGTGGCATTGGTTACAGCAGAGACAGGGCAGGGGACAGGATCGAGCAGGAGTCAGGATGCAGCCAGGGTGCGCTGAGTGTGACTGGGGTGCTTGCGTCCCTGCGTGTGAAGCTGAAACACCCAGATCCGGGCCTCTTGCCTTGGCCCTGCTGTCCTCGCTTTGAAGCCCTGAGCTGTCCTCCTGTACATACTGGCCACTGGGGAACGTGGGGTACAGGTACTTGTGGGAGAGCCTGAGGCCAGACTGCCTGAGACCTTGACCAACGTTCTGATCTTCCCCTCCTTTCCCTGAAGCCCCTCAAGCAGCAGGAAGGTTGACATCCTGTCTCTGTGTCCTTAGCTTTGCCACCAGGAAGTCCCTTTCTTTGACCTCAGTTCTTCCTGCTGCATGCTGAGTGCGTTTCCTCTGCCTTCAGCAGGGGGCAGCTGTGCAGGACCAGGCACTGGGCACTGGGCCAGCCAGGTGGGGTGCCTGGGCTCCTGACTGCCTAGGGGCCTACCTGCCCTATCTGCCTACTCTGGGCCCCTGTAGGCATGTGTTTCCCCCTACTCATGTAGTATCACCCATGGGGAGGTGGCCATGGGGTCTGGCCCTTGCCCCACAGTGCTGAGAACTTCTGGTTCTTGGATAGTTGTTGGGGGTGCAAACACAGGACCCATTTCCGCCATGACCTGGCTGTGCCTGTTGCCAGGTGAGCCTGGCACAGAGCCCGCCCTTCCAGCTCTGGGGTGGAGGCACTGCCCATATGGGCTGACGTCTTCCCAGCTGGCTGGGCCAGGAGCCCAAGACTAGCCAGACCACAAGGGAGGCTGGTGGAGGCCTGTGGGCCTCCTGCACAGAGGGTTCTTAGGAAACCTGGGGAAGCTGTTGTGAGGTTCTGCAGACTCCCCACCCCTCAGTCGAATGGTAGGGTGACCAGAACTTCCTTGAAACCCTTCGAACTCCGGAGTCCTGTGTTGGGTCTGAGACCAAGTGGCCTTGAATGCAGCTCTGAAAAGTGACTCCCTAATCTTGGGCAGTGCTCCCAGAGGCTCCCCATAGCTGAAGACTGGTGTTGCAGGGTTAGAAAGAGACTCCCCAGGAGACCTCATGTAGCAGCCTGGGAGGAGGCCCTTCTTCCCTGGTAGGCTGGTGCCAGGGTGGCTGTGTAAGGCTGGGCTGACCTTTCCTCCCACACAGGCCCTGTGGTCAGCAGGAAGCAGCCTGGGGACAGAGGCTTTCTGTTTCTGCCTGAAGACTGCTGCCCCGGCCCTAGCTGTCCCAGGGCAGCTAGGAGGGGGCAGCCGCCCTTTCCAGAGTGAGGGCAGCACCTGGCTCCTGGAAGCCCCAGCCTGCCCCTCCTGGCCTCGCCTTGCCTGCCCTGCCTGGGCTCTGTGCTGCTGTCTTGGTGTCTCTCTCCATTCAACTGGCCTGATCCCTCTCTGTCTGTCTGCCCCTCCTTGCTGCCCGCTGCCCGGTGGGATTGGCTCCAGATGGACTGGAGGTGCCTGGGAAAAACCCTTGGTGGTGCTTTCCCTTGGCAGCCAGGGGCTCGCTGGTATGGTGGCTGCCATAGTTCCAGGAAGTAAACACTGTGAGGTCAGTCAGTTGGGATTTGGAAGTGGGGGGAGGAGGGATACATTCCGCAGAGCCCCAGGGGAAGGAGGCTGGGCCCCCCAAGGCTGAAACTCACAGTGTGAGGTCCATTGTGGCCAGAGGGAGACAGCTCAAGGGAGGGGCTGGAGGGGCCTGACCAGCTGTGCCTCTGTCAGCCTAGGTCAGCATGCAGTGGCTGATGACTGGTCAGCGCACCATTGCTGGACTGAGCTATGGGCCTCTGGACTTCATTTATTCAGCTAATGCTGGAAGAATAAACAGATGCTACAGAAACCTTACACAGTAAGGACTGCACGAATGAATTCATCAACAAACACAAATTGAGCGCCCACTATGTGCCTTGGCCCATGGCAGGTGACTTGCGTTGAACCAGAGCTCGATGATTTTACGTGATGATGATTCCAATGAAGACAACCTAATTCAGGAGGGTGTCTCAGGTCCTGGCTCCATCACACTACAGATGGATGGGCTGGGCCTGCTCTTCTGCTTCTTGGCTCCAGGGATGTCTCCCTGGCGTTGCTCTTGTCTTGAGTTTTGAAGCTGACTGCCCTCCCTGGCCCAACTCAGAGTCAGTTTCTGCTGCCATGGCAAAGTCTCCCAGACTGGGGTCACAGAAGTGAACTCCCTCGAGGTCCTGGAGGCTAGAGGTCCAAGGTTGGAATGTCAGTGGACTGGTTCCTCCTAAGGCCACGAGGAGTCTGTTCTTAGCTTCTTTCCTGTGGACCGCATCGTCCCCTGGCGTCCTCATGTCCTCAACTCTGTGTCTGCATTTCCGTTTTCAATGAATACAAGTCAGACTGAATGAGGGCCACTTGAACTTGGTCACCTCTGTGACTCACATCCCTCTCTGAAAACAGTCATATTTGGAATTACTGTGGCTTGGACTCCGAGGTCACATTTTGGAGGGGAGCATAATTCAGCCCCCAATGCCAGTGACCTCCCTGCTACAGAAAGCTGGCCTTGTGGTCTCCCTGGAGGCATGGGTGGGGTCTCTGCTTGCCAGCAGGGGCAGGACTTGCAAGAGGCTTTGGCCAAGCACTTTGCAACACGGCACTGGCCTCAGGGCTTAGCTTCTCAGGGAAGTGTGCTGACCTCACCTCCAGCCCTGGGGATGTGGGGTTCACAGAGCTGGGAAAGGATGTTCAGGCACAGACCTTGAGGATTGAGGCAGCCCAGACTGGCCAGAGTGCCCCGTCCCGCCGTCATGGACCTCCCCACAGGCCCAGGGAAGCAGCTTGGACTTGGCCCTGAGTCCAGCAGCTATTGAATCTGCACCCATGCTCAGAGTGCCACTGCTGCAGCCACTGAGGGGAGCCTCTGGGAGGCACTGGGGCACCCTGGTCTGCCAGGAGCTATGGGTCAGGGAATGGGATGACCCTATGGAAGGAACCACTCCCCCACCCCCCTGCTTTGTTTAGAGACAAAACAAGACTTGTGGTCCTGCTCCCTGCCCCCCAGCCAGACTTCTTGCAGGGCTGCAGACACAGGGGTGATGTTTTAGTGGCCTGGCTTGGGAAGGTCTGGACAAAGGTTCTAGCTTTCTGAGGGGCGGGGGCAGGCAGGAGGGCAAATGGGCTCTTGGGCCCCAGAAGCTGAGCACAGACCGGCCAGTGTGGCTGAGGACTTGGTGTCTTTGGGTGCAGACTGGCCACTATGTGTCCTTGGACATGCTGGGTCACACTACATCTGAGGACAGACCCAGAGAACAGAGGCTTGAAGCTGCTGAAACATGACCCTCTCTTGCCTTTCTGTCCACCCTTGGTCATGTGCAGAGGTGCCTGTGCCCTCGGTGATTTTGTCATCTGGGACACATTACCTGGAAGGTGGTTCCAGCCAGGAGTGCTGGAGCCCCAGGGGAAGCTTGCTAAGGAAGAAGGAGGGCAAACTGCAGCCCCCCTCAACCATGTGGCCTGTTTCCTCATCTGTAAAATGGGCTTGTGATGCAGCCTGAGGGTCATCATGGGGACAGGGCCCGGCTAACTTGCCCTCTGCTGGTGGACTGGGCTGGGAGCCAGGCCATTTTAGGCCAGGTGGCTGCAGGTGGTCAGCGCCAGCCTGCTTCCTCCGTTGGAGACCTGCCCAGTCTTCCTGGTTGCTGTCACTCAGCTGAGAAGGGTCTGTGGGGTCAGTGACAAGGCCAGTAGGACACAGTTCTCAGCAGAGCCCCCTTCTGTGCTAGGGGACTTCCGGGACAAACTGGGTCACTAACGTGACGCCGGCTGCTATTCACACCCGAGGCACAGATGTGAAGGACAGACAACCTAGTGTTTACCCGGCTCCCTGAGTGGCGCCTGCTGTGGGTGCTGTGCAGGCTGGGGCTGCTGCATGTGCGCTGGCCGTGTCAGGCAGAGCATCCCTACATGCCCATGTTGGAGTGTGCAGGGTGGGGCACTGAGAGCCCAGCCCTCACTGCCGTGGTTTCTTATACCTCCTGTGCTCCTGTGGGCCTGTACAGGGCTCCAGTGCCCTCTCCTCTGAGGTCCAACCTTCCCTGAAACAAGACTGGGCACCTGGTGGGCACTCATGAATGGAGGGAACAGCCAGACCTCAAAAGCCTAGACTCAGCGCTGCAGTGTGACTGGGCCTCCCGTCTCCTGCCGTGTGGCTTGGGCATGACCCTACGAGATCAGTGTCCATACCACAGGACGGTGCTGTGGTGAGGGTGGGAATTTAAGAAAATCTGACAACACCGGCTCCCAGGAGGATAAAAGTGAATGGCAGGACTGGTAGGTGGGCCGTGTGGCTACCGGCTGGCTGGGAGGGGTCCGCCCCAGCTGTGTGTTGGCTCTGTCCCTGACAGGCGGCTTTTCATGTCCCATTATTCTGTTATAACATTGGTCTCTCTGACCCACTAGGTCACTGAACTTCGTGTTGGAATTAGCCTATTCTGAGTGGTGTTCTTTTTTTTTTTTTTTTTTTTGTCTTTTTCCTTTTTATTGGTACTGAGGATCGAACTCACGACTGCCTGCTTGCAAGGCAGGCGCTTATGCCGCTGAGCTAAATCCCCAGCCTCCCTGAGTGATGTTCTTACTGGGCCACCCTGTGCTGGTGGCTTTGCCTCTCTGCCCCTGACCGGTGGTTGAGGCCTCAACCCCCCAGGATGAGCTATAAGGACCCTTGTGAGCTCTCTGTGCTGGGCGCAGGGTCCTGGGTGCCAGGCAGCATTGCTGTGGCCAGAGGTGGCCAGGAGTTCAGCCTAGGACCCCCTGCCTTCCTGGAGACATCACTCATTCACAGCCCTCATTCCTAGCCTGTTTCCCCATTTGGACAAGATGACCCTGTTAGGAAAAAGGAGAAGGAACAGAGATACAAGCTCAACAGGACAAGTTCATTTCAGACAAACCCGAGAATGTCCGTTCTGGCACTAGAGACCAGACCAGTCACTCTCGTACAAGCTATAAGGTTTTTATAAGGTCAGGAGCACGAAAAAGGGGGTCATGGAAGGAAAAAGTCACCATGGAACTTTCAGGGGTGGGGTGAGTTCAGTACAGAGGACTTGTGGCTTTTTGTCCGGGGCAGGGTTTGAAAACATACAAGGAGTTGCGTGTTGTTTGTTAAGAGCAGGGCCAAACAACGATTGGGAATTGTAGGGTGTAGCTGTGCTTCCTGGGCCTTATCACCCCTGACATACAGCTGCAGCAGGCGTGAAAGCACAGCGGGGGAGGGATTTAAAGTGGTCTCCCTCCGTCTGCTCAGATGGGACAGCAGTGGTCAGATGCTTCAGGCTCCAGAAGGCCCCACCTGCCTCTAACCTCTTGAACTTGGCACTGCTCTCAACTTGAATGTTTTTGTCTTCCAGAAACTACAGTGCCCTCCGGAAGGAAAACATTTATGAGAACAACAAACTTGTAAGTCCCGTGGACCCCAGCCCCAGCCTGATCTGTCTTGCCCACCCTGTCCCAGCCTCAGAACTGGCCCATGACAGGTGCCACCAGGCCTGGGGGTTGGGGAGTGAACCTTCCTCTGGGCTGTGCAGGACTCCTGCCAGGGGTCTGTACCTTGACAATCCGCTGTGCAGGTGGCCTGTCCTCCTGGGAGCAGCCTTTAGTTTTGGTGCCCCGCCCTGCCCATTCCCTCTCTTCCTCAGTGGGGGCGTGAGGGGCAGGGAGCTGGCCAGCAGCCTCCCTTCTCCGTGGGTGGCCCAGCCTGGCCCTCCCAGGGCAGAGCAAGTCCCAGAGGCTGTGGGAGGCAGGGCCGTGGTCCTGAGTGGACCAGCTGCTGCCCCTACCCTGGCAGGTGCCTGACAGTCAAGCGTGCCCACCCACTGTGGTCTCACAGCTTGGTTAGAATGAGATTCTGTTATGATTCAGCTTCTAGGTGCCCTGGCCACATTTCAGAAGTTCATAACCAAGCGTGGCAGGTGGCTATCATGTCCAGTTACACTAGAGAACTCAGTACCGTGGAGGGCAGTGGGGGAAAGAGGGACAGCCCAGCCAGAGGGGCAGAGGCCCTGGGCTGGAGGGTACCTGGCTGCGCTGCAGTGAGACCCAAACGGGGCGGGGCGGAGGCAGGACCTGGATAGAGCGTGGTACAGGCCAGACTTTGGTTTCATGCCTGGTCGGCATGAGCTGGTGACCAGGGGACAGGGAGGTGGGAGTAAATGGCCTGGGTCACAGTGGTGGCCATGGAGGAGCCCCATTCTGGTGTGTGGTGAGGGGTCGGAGGCTCTGCGAGGCCTTTGGTGGCCCCACTGGACTGCAGGCCTGGGGGAGCCATTTGGGTTCTGCATGGGGCTGTGTCATCTGTGGAGATGGAGCCCAAAGCAGGAGGAAGTCCAGGCATTGTCAGGCTGTGGAGGGTCACAAGGGTTGAGGCCAGTGAAGTACTGGGCCCGGGGCTCCCCAAGGTCCTGGCCCCACACAGCTGCACACAGGGGTTCATGGAGCTTTTCTACTCCATGTGCAGTGGCTTGGCGCCAGCTGGAGTAAGCAGGAGCCATCTGCAGCCATAGCTGGGGAGGGTCTCTAAGTGAACCTGAGTCGTGGGGAGGCCTGGCCTGCCCCAGCCCCACACACTCCTCTTCCATGGCATGGGCTCCCAGGATGCAGTGCGCCTGTGTCCCCACTTAGCGCTGTGTCTGGATGCGTGGGGCTCAGGCTTCAGAGGCAGCTGAGGGCAGTCTCCAGGGTGATGTGGCCCTGGGGCAGAACCTCATCAGAGGTTCCCTATACTGCCCCACAGAGTGACATCAGCCCCTCCTGGTGGGAGGGTGATTCCTTTGTCCAGGAGGGCCTAGAAGGAGGGAGCTGAGCCCAGGGCAGCCGCCTAGGAGGTCAGGGCACCACCCCGCTGGGCCCTTGGATCTGCTCCTGCTGACTTCCACCCCTGCCCTTCCCAGGCCTTCAGCGTGGCAGAGGAGCACCTGGGCATCCCTGCCCTGCTGGATGCTGAAGACATGGTGGCCCTGAAGGTGCCTGACCGGCTGAGCATCCTGACTTATGTGTCCCAGTACTACAACTACTTCCACGGCCGCTCTCCCAGTGAGTCCTGGCCTCGCAAGTGTCAGGGCTTCCCTCGGGGGCATGGCTCTGGGGGTGCCCGGCTGCTGTGAATGGGAAACAGCCTCTTCTGGGCCAGGTGGCTTAGGAACCCCCAGAGTTGTGTCTCTTGTAGGCACCCAGTAATCCCAGCCCCCCAGTCCCTCAGTGGGTCTCTGCTGGGCTCCATCCTCCTTCTCAGCACCACAAGGGTGCCCTCAGCTCTTGTCTCTCCATCTGGCAGCTCTTTGGTTTGTCCATCCAGACCCCTGAGCTCTGGTGCCCAGCCATGGATCCTGTATGACCCTGGGCCTGGCTGTGTCTTGTGCTGACTTTGGCCTCTATGGAGCCAGCTGGCCAACAGAGATGGGCAGGGGCCGCAGGGGAGGCCTTTCCTTTTCCCAGCTTTTGTGTGAGGAGCTGCTCAGCCCTCCCCACCCCCTCGCTCCTCCCCCAGGCTTTAGAAATCCCCAGAATCTCTCTGGGCACAGGGCCAGGCCTTCCTGGTGGAAAACAGAAAAGTCCCTTTTCCCTGACCCCAAATTGGGGTTGCCATTGGGGAGGGGCCAGGGATCAGGCCTGGCCTTGCTGGGAAGAACATGCCCCTGGGTGCCTCCCTCCGTCCTCCCCCCATTAGGACCCCTGAGAGGGCCATACCACCCTCTAGCACCAAACCCCACGCTGGGCAGCCTTAGGGATATAGGCCCTTGCAGAGAGGTTGCCTGGGTCAACCTTCCTGACTCCATGTGTTCCCTGCCAGTTGGGGGCATGGCTGGCATAAAGAGGCCCCCATCCGACCCTGAGGAGGAGCCTTCTGGGAAGAAAGCCCCGTCCACGCCGGCCAAGCTGCCCTCATCTGCTCCAGCCCAGGCACTGCCAGCGCCTGCAGCCAGGACAAGTTCTATGGCCCAGAGGATGGATGGGGGCCCTAAGGCTGTGAGCACTCCCCCACCCCGCCCTCCCTCTAGTCTTGCTGAGCAAAGTCTGCAGGACCGTGCAGCCCTTACACTGCTGGGCAGGTGGGGTGGGTCCTGGGGGGGGGGTGCGGTACACAGCCCCAGCTGCTGTTTGGCATGAGCCTGTGGGGCTGGCTCCCCTGGGCTCCTTCATCTGTATAATTGTGATCCCCACTGTATAGACGGGTAAACTGCAGTCCAGTGAGGCTGTGCAGGTGGAAGATCGGAAACCTAGACCTTTCTGGGCTCTCAGCAGGCTCTTTGCTTCCTCCTGGGCTGGGAGAGGTGCTGGATTGGTCCTTTATTCTCAGGCTAACCTCAGTGTCGTTTGGAGCCCACTTCTCAGAGGTAGAGGCCAGGAGGGCACTGGAGCTTGGATGTCCTTTGCTGTGCCCAGGCAGTCACTTCAGGCTCTGAAGAGCTAGAGCAGGACAGGGCAGGGCTCTGGGCTGGGCTTGGATCCCTGCTCCTGGGGCCCACACTCTTCCCAGGGCCAGCCTGGAGTCCCGGATGTGGGGCCCTGCCTGTCCTCTGCCTACTGGTTCTTGAGCCTTAGTCCTCTTCTCTGTAAAATGGGGTCTTTAGGCTGCCTTTTCTGTCCTGGCTGAGGTGGGAGCCTGGGACAGTGGGTGGCACTCAGCAGTTCCTGGCACTCCCCCTAGGCACAGACGGTGGCAGGCAGCGCAGTCAGCAGCACCTGTGCGGTCTGCGGCAAGCACGTGCACCTGGTCCAGCGGCACCTGGTTGATGGGCGGCTCTACCACCGAAGCTGCTTCAAGTAGGTTCCTACCCAGATTGGGCACCCCTCCTGTTTCCCTTGACTCCAAGCTAGCCACCCCCTCCTCAGCCTGGCCCGAGGTGCCCAGCTCTTCCCAGGCACTTAGGGACTGACCCTCTCTGGCCAAGCCCTAACTTGTCGCTCAGCCTCCCCTCAGAGACCTGCTGCTGGCCTAGCGGTGCGTGTCATACTCTGGGGCCATGCTCGCCCCTCCTTGCCTTCTGCTGCTCACAGCTGAAGGGTCTTAGAGGGCAGACTCAGGTTCCTCTGCAGAGCATGGGTGTCTGTCCCCAAAGCGGAGAATCAGAGATCTGTGTGTGACTGTATGGATGTGCATGCACGTGTGTGATTCTGGGAGGGCACGTGTCTGATCATGTGTGAATGTGCAAGTGTGTGTGTGCATGCTTGTATAGGTGGCTGCATATGCACATGTGAGTGTGCATTGATATGTGATGTGAGTAAACGTGTGTGATTATGTAGCAGTGCATGTATATGAACGTGCATACATGTGTGATTGTGTGTGCACAGGTATGTTTACTGACATGCAAGAGTACTTCCTGAGATGACTGTACACCTACCAAGGTCACAAAGCTTACAGCCAAGGGAAAGGGAGTGTTTGTGGAGTGAATCAGCGATCACATGAATGTGCAGGAAGAATATATGAGTTTGTGCTTGGGCAGGATGAGTGAAAGAGCAATGGGGATACATGGAGGACGGGACTGACCAGGCCCGGGACTCCCTGCAGGTGTAAGCAGTGCTCCAGCACACTTCGCTCCGGGGCCTACCGGGCCACTGGGGAGCCAGGCATCTACGTCTGCACCAGCCATCACTCCAGAGCCACCTCAGCAAACACTGCATTGCCGGCCCTGACTTCCAAACAGCCAGCTGCCACTCCTGTGGATGCAGGGGCCCCCAGTGTCCTGCAGAAGACCCAGGAGATGAATGGGCTGAGAGAGGCAGCTCCAAAGGCCCAGCCAGTGGCCCATCGGCCTGTAGTGGGCAACACGACCGCAAAAGGCTTTGCTCGGATTACCTCTGAGCCCCCAGCCTCCACCGTCCCCATCCAGGTGGGGAGCCCAGCAGGGCCCAGACTGCCTGCGAACCCAGTGGCTTCCCTCTTGGAGCACAGCACAGCCAGCACGCATGTGACTGGGAGATCCCCAATGGGGAGGACATCGCATGCCCAGTACCCAGCAACAAACAGCTCTCGGTCTGCCCCTAGCATCCCCGAACCTTGCCCGGCAACACCCCAAGGCCTCGGGCCCCCCCGAGTATCAACTTCTGTAACCAAACTTGGCTTGAACTCAGCATCTCCGGGTGCAGCGGACCCCCCAGCCTGGACCCCCTCGGCCACGAGGACTCAGCAGGCCCGGGAGAGGTTCTTCCAGAGCCCTGCTGCTCCCACAAGTGGCCCTGTGGGCCAGACTCCCGCTCCAGCCAACGCCCCCTTCCGGGACAGCAGCAGGGAACAAGCGCTGAGCTTCCTCAAGAAGGCCCTGTCGGGGGTGGAGGCGGCTGGCGCCCAGGCGCCTGGCAAGTAAGTGGAGGAAGGATGTCCTGGGGGTGGCTGCTCCCTTTCACCCATTTCTGCCTCCACCGTCACTTGGGTCTCTGTCTCATGGAGACAGCATCTTTAGGTTAGGGCCACCCTCGTCCAGCATGACTGTGTCTTAACATGGGTTCTGTGTAAAGCTCTGTTTCCAAATAAGGTCACACCCCAACCTTCCAGGGGATGGGAATTGGGTCCCACCCTGGGGTTCACCAGCCAGCACCCCATATGCTGCAGCCCTGAGTAGTTTAGAACCAAGCAAGGCATGCCCAGGCCAGTCCAGAGCCCTGAATAAGGCCCTTCGAGGTGGAGTCCCTGTGCTGCTGGACTTGGCCTCCCGAGTGATGGGTTGGGGCCATTTCCATCTCTGCCAAAGTCTCATTTAATAGAGTAAGATCAGCCATAGACATATGAGGTGCCAGAAGTGGGTGCCCATCATCCCTGGGGTGCACCGTCGTCCTGCTGGGGGGTGAGGCCGGGTAGCTGGCTGCAGGTGAGGCTGTGGGGCTCCTGCCTGGAAGGAGCTCATGGACCTTCTCATGCCTGGTACCTGCTTCTTACCCACAGGTCCTCCCCTGCTATGAATTCCTGTCCCAAAACTGAAGGTCCAAAAGCAGTTCCTTCAGGCAAGCCGCTGCAATCAGATGCTCCTCACACCCTCAGCTCCACTTCTAGGACGGAGCCGTCTGCCCGCCTGAGTGTGGGCAGCACTTCCCAGGTGGGCAAGAGCCCGGCCACGTCCTCAGGGGTCATCAAGGAAGGGACAGGCTCCAGGCTGAAGCCGGAGGCCCCGACGGCAAAGGGTAAGAGCTGGGGGGGGGGGGGCTCTGGTGGGTCTGAGATCTGTGGCGCCACGCCCTCTGGCTGTGGACTGAGTCCTGGCTGCCCCTCCTGGGCTTTGTTCTGTAGTCTTAGGGTTCCTGGTCTGGCCCTGTTTTTCTTTGCAGCTCCACCTCGTAACCTCCCCTTGGTTCTTGTCCTCACTTGCTCCCTGTGTCATGGTGGCAGTATCTCGTGGCTGTCACCATCTGTCTACTGTATTCTTTCCCTTCCTGGGTGCCCGCCAACCAGTCCCCACAGCTTCCATCTTTAGCTGTGTTGGCTCTGCCTCTGTTCAGAGGCCTGTCCGTCTCCACTACGGGCCTCTCCCGTGTCCACGGTCCTGCTGCCCAGCCTTGGCTCTTCCTGACTGCTCCTGGACCAGGCCTCCTTCTGTGGGCCTGGAGGGCTTTCACCTGGGAATCTGGGGTAAACCTTAGAGGTAGCTTGGGGCTGACAGATGGGCTCAGAGGATTCCCTGTGCATATTGTTTTTCTGGGTCTTTCCCTATGGCTGAGCCCCACAGGAAAGCCTCTGTTGGATCTGAATCTGCAGGGGGAGCTATGGCCCAGCCATTTCTCTCCATGCTTTTGGTGGAAGGGGAGGTCGAGACCAGAGAAGGAGCGATTCCTCTGGGGACACTTGCAGGTGGCCCTGGGGATCTGAGGGAGGGGTGGCTGGAGGATAGGGTGGGAGCAATGCTGCCCTCCCCAGACAGCTCCACCTGGTGTGTTCTCTCCTGATCCGTGCCCTTGGCCCTGCCAGGCCCAAGCACCAGCCCCCAGCAAAGCCAAGAGGACGGGCCGGAAGGGTGGAGGGCCCGCCTGAAACCTGTGGAAAAGAAGCCGCCGGCCGGGAGGTGAGGGCCTGGCACACAGCAAGAGCTTACTGTGCTCACGGGAGTAACAGCAGGGTGGGACAGAAACATGTCACCACTGTACCCTCCAGTGATACACAGCAAAAGCTGGATCCCACCAAGTGGGGGGTAGGGCGTGGCAGGGGATGACTCACACTGAGTGATGCCATCAGGGTGACATGAGGGATGACATCCTGGACATGGGGCAGCGGGTAGCATATCCACTTCGGCCTGCCACTCATGTACAAAAACACAGTGGGTGTCTCCCCACACCTGGGTCACACGGGAGCACCTGTGCCTGTGCCCACCTGGGGCAGTGGTCTCACCGCTGAGTGGTAGCATTTGGAACACCTGTGTACCCCGGATGCAGACAGGGCCAGAGCCTCAGGTGAGACAGGCAACCACAGCTGCTGGAGTCCCTGTGACTGTCCACATGTGCTGGGCTGACCTTGTACCTTCCACCCAGGGCACAGGAGCCAAAGGAGCCACGGGTGCCTGCAGAGCCAAAGGCTGGAGAGGCCCCAGTGGCCCCCAGGACCCCTGTGCAGGTCTCAGGCCACGTCCAGGTGGGCGTTCAGATCACCCTGACCCCTGTGCAGCCAGAGCAGACACTGGCCCATGCTGGCCCAGGAACCAAGCTCCCAGGTACTGCTGGATAGGCTCCCCAGGGTCTGCATGGCTGTTCAGGTGTGGCTTGTGCGTTCATGTGTATGTTCAGGCATAGTGCTTGTGCACACCCATCCAGGTGCAAGGCATTTTTCTGCACATCTGTGACATACTTGTGTTCATGTGTGCACACACATTCAGATGTGGTGTGTGTGCATGGGTGTACAGATATAGGTATGTGCACACATAACCAGGTGCAGAGTAGCACCAGGTGCACTGGAGCTCCTGTGTGAGTACCTCTGTGCAGGCGTGCACATGTGTGTATATGTGTTCAGATGCAGAGTATTGCCTGTGTGTTCAGGCATTGGTGCATACACAGCTGTGTGGGCTGTGGAATCTGTGCACATGTTCACATGCATGTACATGCATGTGTGTGTGTGTTCAAGCAGGGCTGTACCTGTGTACATCCATGTCCAGGCGTGGGTGCATGTGTGTTCAGATGTGGGTATATATATGTCTGTGTGTGTTTGCTCCCAGCACTCTCTGGTGCCGTGTGCCTGGGTCCTCCTTTGAGGCCCCTTCCCATGTGGCCCAAGTGGTCACTGATCCTGTGGAACCCGGGCTGGGGGGACGTGACCAGTTGGATGGGTTGCAGGGCTGTAAATCTGGCCCCCATGTCCATTGGGGAGACAGAGGTGGTGATCTCGGCCTTTCTGGGTCAGGGGAGGGCTCCAGCCTGCTGACCTGACATAGGACTCTGTCCCCAACTGGGGGGCAGAAGCTTCCCCCTCTTCATCCTCCCGCAGGAGGCTGGCCATCCCTCCCAGCCTCGACATATCTGCTAATTGGCTTCAGTCAGAGCCGTCGGAGCAGGAAGCCCAAGTCCAGAGCTGGAAGGAAAAACCTCATTCTCAGGACAAACCAGGTCAGCCCCAAAGATTTCTGTTTTTATTTGGGGTGTGGATGGAGAAAGCTTCCTCTAAGATGTATACTCGGGCTTTGGAGCATATATAGGAGTCCACTTGGCCTAGAATGGAGGGAGGACCTGGAGGACCTGAGTCTTTCTGGTGACAGGGTGCGAGCACTGGTTGGAGACCCTAGTTTCTTCCCAGTACTTTGTCATTAATGCCTGGTGACAATGGAGTGTTCTCTCCTGGCAGACTGGGGGACTGAGTGGCCAGAGGCATAGGAGGGGATCTCTGGAGGGGTCCCCAGAGCTCAGCCTGCTTCTTCTCTAGGGAGGCCCTCAGCCCTGGCTGGCATCCCTGCCTCGCCTGAGAAGACTGTGAGCTCCCCTATCAGGGTGAGTAGGCTGGGTGGCACATGCAGTGGGCCTGGGCCTTGGCCCTGAGCTCACCCTGCCCCACTGTCCCCAGCTGCACCCCGACTATGTCCCCCAAGAGGAGATCGAGAGGCAGCTGCAGGACATCGAGAGGCAGCTGGACGCGCTGGAGCTCAGGGGTGTTGCACTGGAGCAGCAGCTGCGTGCAGCTGATGGGGGTGAGCGTGTGGCCCTGGGGTGCCCTGGACCTGGGTCCCTGTCCCACTGCGAGGCGTCGGGAGGGACCCGGGCCTGGCAGCCTCCCCACCAGCGCTCCTCTTCACAGCTGCCGAGGAGGATGACCTCATGGTGGCCTGGTTCCGGCTCGTCCATGAGAAGCAGCTGCTGCTGAGGCAGGAGTCGGAGCTGATGTACAAGTGAGGTGCCACCTGGAGCCTGGGGGGCGGCAGAGGGGCAGCGGGTGCGCTGTGGGGCTCAGACCTCCTGTGCCCGCAGGTCCAAGACCCAGCGCCTGGAGGAGCGGCAGCAGGACCTGGAGGGCGAGCTCCGCAGACTGATGGCCAAGCCTGGTGCGTCCGTGACTCTGAGCCAGGGTCCAGTCCGGCCCCTCCTGAGTGGGATTATCCTGTGTCCCCAAGAGGCCAGTAGTGTCCTGTCGTGGCTGAGCCCAGCTTTGAGCTTCAGCTCTCCTACCTCCTGGCTGTGTATCTTCAGCCAGGTCACCTAACCTCTCTGTGCTTGGGTTTCACCCCCTTCACAGTGAGTGTGTTGCACGCAGCTCCATTCAGCCAACTTGATGTTACGGGGTTTAATGTGTGTGAGGCGTAATGCAGGCCTCAGGGAGGGGTGTGAGTTCCAGGGTTCAGTGCTGACTGTCCCGTGCCTTGGCGTGGGACTGGGCCCTGCCTGCCACACCTCCCCGGGCTGGGCCGCCTTCCTGGGGGAAGGGAGGCTGAGTCACCCCAGGCTGGGGTGGCTGTTGGACCCTTCAGCCCTTAGAGCTGAGAGCTGCCATGGAGAAGCCTGGACCCTAACCCCTAGATGGAGGGCTTGCGATGTGATGTCCCCAAGTGGCATGGGAATGGGGCCCTGCTCAGGGTAGGCTGTCCCCACAGAGTATCTGAAGACCCCCCAGGACCAGCGGCGAGAGCAGGAGCTGCTGAGCCAGTACGTTAGCACTGTGAATGACCGCAGTGACATCGTGGACATACTGGACGAGGACCGACTCAGGTGAGGGTGGCAGCTGACAGATGGGGTGAGGTCAGGGCAGGGGGCCGGGCCAGCCACCTGACACTTGGTACCTTTCCAGCCACTTCAGAAGGAGGAGAAAACCACCTGGTGCATCTCACGGGTGTCCCCTCCTTTCTGGGGCCGAGGACAGGCCTGGTCTAGACTGCTGTTCCCAGAGGTGGCCAGCTACAGGCTCCTTCTCACCCCTCCATGCCCAGCCCTGCCACCGGCCCCTGCCGGGACAGAAATGCTTTGTCACCTGCATTGTCTATGAGGTGGCCACTGTGGCTTTTGGGCACTTGTCATGTGACACATGCACCTGAGGACCTGAACCTAAAATTGATTGATTGTATTGGGAATGGAACTCAGGACCTCGCGCTTGCCAGGCAGGCACTTGTGCTATGGAGCTATATATCTCTGGCGAAAATGTATATTTAACATTAAGTTTCTAGCCACATATGTCTCCTGGCAGCTGCTCTGGGTCATGTGGTTTCTCAACACTCCCCAAAGGCCTTTTGTCCCACATGAGGGTCACATCCTGGCTGTGCAGGGTTGGTTGCTAGGGCCAGTACAAACTGAGCCTGTGTGAGGCTGAAGGGCCTTGGCCTGCACGTCCCGGGTGTCCTGCTGGCCCCACTCACTCTTGTGGCAGCCCAGGCCCCCTGCAGTCCCTGGGCCACTGCTGAGGGGCTGGGCCTGGAGAAGGCAGGCAGCTGCTGTGTCGGGTAGGGCCAGCGGGCCTGGGACAGTGCCTGTGCCCCGTGCAGGCCGTGTCTCCTCATGGCCACCCTAACCCTGTTCCAGGGAGAAAGAAGAGGACCAGGTGCTGCAGGACATGATCCAGAGGCTGGGTAGGGAAGGATGGGCCCGGCAGGTGCAGGGGGGGTGGGCCGGGCGGGTCCTTCAGTGGGGTGGGGCACGGGGACCCAGCCCACTTTACACAAGGGAGCCGGACGTGGTAGTGACTGTGGGGCAGGGCCAGGGCCCTGGCAGGCTTCAGGGTGGGCTCTGCGGGCAGTGGCAGGCTGGGTGGCTCTGGAGCCAGCTCCTGCTGGCCTGGGGGACCCTGGTCGGGGAAGACCCCACCCAACCTCACCTGCCCTTCCCCCCAGACCTGCAGAAGAAAAAGCCCAAGTTCCGCTTGTCCAAGATCTGGGGCACAAAGAACAAAGGCGCTCCTCAGGAGTGAGTGCCTGCTGGGGCTGCAGGACCCATGCGGGCACCCTGCCCATCCTGGCCTCCTATGGTCTTCCTCCCTGTGGTCTTTCTCATCCTAATAAAGAGAGTGGCCCGGCTCTCTGCATGTTCTGTGGGCACTGGGGCCTGCGATCCAGCTTTGTGCTCATGCGGATTTGGTTTGTGGCACGGGGCAGGTGCTGACCCTCTCTGGGCCTGGCCTGGGCTCACTCCAGAGCATTTATTGGCTTCTTGGGTGCACAGAGGGCTGGCCGGATCCTCACTCAGATGGGATGACTGCTGCACAGTGTGAACTCGAGGTGGCCCCCTAGCGGTCGAGGCATCTCTGTGGCTTGGAGTCAGATCATGGGCCAGGGAACACCTGGACGTCCTGAGCTGGACGGGGAAGGGTGTGTCTGGCCAGAGAAACAGTAGGGCCATGATCTGGGAGCCTGGAAACGCTCTGTGAGCCGGAGAGTCTGGAGGGAGACCGGGGGAGTTGGCTGTCCTAGCAGTTGCCAGCATCTCAGGCTTGCAGGGATACAGCTAGGTGTGGAGCCAGCCTCCTTCTTCAGCCACCAGCTCCATGACAGTCCTGCACGGAGGCCCTGGGGCCCCTCATGTCAGGGGCAGGAAGCCGGGGTGAGACCTGGCGCCCTTGCCTGATAATACCTTTCCTTGTGTCCCCGGGGACTGTCACCTGGCCTGACCCTTCCCGGGACCCATGGCAGTGTGACCCATTTGCCACCAGGGGGAGGCAGAGAGCCGTGCAGCAGTGTCGGGGCAGCCTGGAGTGCCCCAAAGCAGCTTCAGGCCACAGATCCTTTGTGGACACTGGTATGTGTGCAGGGGGAGCTTCTTCCTCTCAGAGAGGTGATCCACCTCCCGGAAGTCACACAGCACGTCAGATGCAGGCCTGGTGCAGACCTCAGTGGCCTGCCAGGCTTCTAGACTGTGACTCGCTGGAGTACTTGTGTGGAGGCTGCCAAAGGTGGATGGGGTTTTGGGGACAGGAAGGGAGGGAGCATTGTCCAGTGTGTCCAGCGGCGGCCTGTGTGCCAGGTGGGCACTGGCTTGGCACAGTTGCTGCCTCAGAAACCCAGCCCTATGTGTGCTCAGGTGCCCAAGCACCGAGCCTGCCAGGCAGGTGGTCTTCACTGTGGGCCAGGCTCCTGCACTGCTGCCCCAAGGACAGGGAGGGAACTGGTTGCGGCCTCAGGGCACAGGCGCTGATTGGGTCCTTGATGGCTGCTCGGCTTGCAGACAGAGCAGGATGGACCTGGGGGACCCTGGGTGGGTGGTCCCTTGGGGACAGGTGGCACTGGCTTTACTCTGCCCTACTTGGAAGCCAGGCAGCCCTTACCCCAGGTGATCCAGATGCCTAATGGGGAGGACAGAGGCTCAGGACCTGCAGAGATGTCCTAGCTGGACATTCCCAGGGCCACCTCCCTCTGCCTGTGCATATAGGAAGCATTCAATATGTGTGTGGATCGGGCTGGGGATTTAGCTCAGTGGCATAAGTGCCTGCCTGGTAAGTGTGAGGTCGTGAGTTTGCCAGTACCATCAAAAAAAATAAATAAATAAATAAAATACATGCATGGATCTTTCTAACCCTAGAAATGGCCTGGAGCCAGGTGCGATGGCACACACCTATAATCCCAGCATGTGGAAGGCAGAGTCAGGAGGATCTCTGTGAGTTTGAGGCCAGCCTGACTGGACTACATAGTGAGACCTTGCCCTAAACACCCCCACCCCCACCACTGAAAAAAGAGGTTAAGGGAGAAGAACAAGAACAAGACACTTAGAGCAATGATATTCATGCATGGATGGAGGAAGGAGCTCCCCCTGCACACATATCTGTGTCGACAAAGGCTCTGTGGCTTGAAGGATATTCGGGCCCAGTAGGTGCCATGGCCTGAGGCCTGGCCCAGGGCCTATGTGGCTGCATCAGGAAGAAGAAAGGAGCTGAGGTTGGGGTGCACTGACCATCAGGCCTGACACAAGAGGTGGCCTTGTCTCCACAGACTGGCAGGGGCCCCAACCTCACCTCCCTCTAGTGCTACCTATCCCCTACTTGTCACCACAGGGCCTTTGCACAAGAAGCACATGGCTGCTCCTTATGTAAAAGTGTCCTCCTGAGAGGCCTCACAGCCCTGATGTCCACTGTCATCTCACTTCACCTGGGAGCTGTCTTTGGGTTTTGGGTGCTGGTCAGTCCCCTCTGCGCTGAGGTTCACCTACTACCCAGAATGATACTTGGGAACTTGGCTTGGGGGCGATTGAAAGTGTGGTAAACTTGGTCCCCAAATGGCTTCTACATCTTCACATGGAAAGGGAGAAGGATACGATGGTGTCCACTGGACTGTGGAGGGACTCTGCCTGGCCTGGGGGAATCCACACTTGCTGTGGCACCCAGGAGAGGCCTGGCAGGTATGGCTCCAGGACCTGGGACTTCAGAGGGCATCTCAGAGCAGGGGCCACAAGGGTGGGACACAGGGTCGGCCTGGAACCTTTTAGTGTTCCCTGGGCCTGGCTCTTGCAGGCCCTTTAACGTTTGTGGGGCCCAGGACAATGGTGGAGTCACAGGTCACCCTATCTTTGCAAGGGCCAGGCCCTGCCCATGTGAACCCAGGGTCCTGGCTGCATGAATGCTTGCCTGAACCTCCATTTGAGCCTGGATGGGTGCCCGTCAGGGCCCAGGAAGTTCCCTGAGGGGTCATCAGGGTGTGTGCAAAGGATTCCAGAGCCCTGGGGCCTGGGGTATGGTGTGCAGGTTACGTGTGAGTTCTGATGTCTCCTGGCCCCACAGGAGGTGCAACCGGAGGACAAGGACCCACTCTCCTCCCCCTGCAGACCTGGCCCCTCCATGCTCTGCCTCCTGCTCCTGCGACCTCCTTCCTCTGAGGCTACTTTGGTTCCCACTGTCTCCCATGCAGGCTCCGGGGACCCTCCGGCCCTGGGTGCCCCTCCTCTGCTGGGTGCCCTCCCAGCAAGGGCCTTTGACCAGGCAGCTACGGTGGGTTCCGGGAGCCGCCCGCCTGCCAGCCCGCCTAGGTGTCTCCCCTTGGGCTGGTCTGTTCCGAGGAGCCCAGCATTACTGTTAATAAGGGCTACTGAATACTCCCGAGCCCCGGGCCGGCCTGGCGCTTTATAACATGCACAAGCCATGATATCACGGACGTCCTATCTGATCACAAATTGGAACTATATCATAGGCCTCTTCTTAAATTAAAAAGCTGAGACCTTTGTGTTTGTTCTTGCACAATTGTGTAAAACTGAATCAGCAGCTGTAACAACATTCTGTGCCCATAGGGGTCACTTCTATGCTTTATTTACTAGAGGGTCTTTTCAGAAGGACAGTTGGGTGCGTGAAGGTGAATGGCCCTGGCCCAGTGCCCGTTGAGAGGCGCTTGCCTGTGTCCTGTGTGTGTGACAGCAGGGATCTGATGGCTGGGTGCAACATTCGGGTGTAAGTTGGGATTAGTGAGTTTTCTATTTATTTTGAGACAAGATCTCTAAGTCTCTAAATTGCCCTGCTGGGCTTGACCTTGTGATCCTCCTGCTTCAGCCTCCCAGAATGCTGGGATTACAGGTGTGCTGCCACCGTGCCTGAGTTTACCTCTTATACTTTTTCTGAGTGTGGCCGACAGAAACTTCTGTCACATCCGTGGCCCCACGTGGGCAGTGGGTGGTGTATTTTTGGTGGGTGGGGTGGCTCTGTGCCCTGTCATGAATGGTGCATCTGTGATTCTTGGCACGCGTGGGTGTGGGTGCTGTCACCACCCACTCCACTCTCAAGCTCTGTCTCGCACCCTGTTCCCGAGGCGCAGCCTCCCCTGTGCCTGTCCACCACCCCTCTGTGCTCCCAGCCACCATGGCCTGGGCCAGGGACCCTCACCTCCCTGCTGAAGCCCCCTGGAGCCGCCCCTTTCTGTTAAGTCCAGCTCCCCACTGGCAGCCCCGCCCTGTAGGCACACCTGGTCACCCCGGGGAGGCATCGCTGGTCCTTGTCTCCGGACAGCTTGTCTTTTGGACACTATTCCCAGCAATGTCATCCAAGGACCATGGGCCAATGTGCTCCTTCCTCCTGTTGTCCATCCCTTTGTCCACCTGGAAGGCTTTCTGGACACCTTCTGTGTGCCAGGCTGCATGCTGGGTGCCAATGGCCCAACCTCTAGTGAGAGATCCACCTCAGGGACTGCGGGGTGTGGGGACAAGTGGGTACAAAGGGATGAGATCAGGGCAGGGGTGTGAAGGCTGAGTGAGGTTAACCAAGTGTGAGGCCACAGCCACAGCCCGTGCAAGGGACCTGAGGCCAAGTGGGGTCAGGCTCTGTTGGCTGGGGAGCGGAGGGAGGGATCCACATGGGGCTGGGCTCCAGCCCTGCAGCCAGTGGAGGTGGGTCAGAGGGCAGGTGCACGGAGGCCTCTGGCAGCTCTGGTCACAGGAGCCCTGTGCCCTCAGGTGTAGCCTGTGCTCTCCTCCCAGGATTTAATCATGGGGCCTTGCAGGGCTGTGGAACACATTGTCTGCTGGTCTGTCTGTCCAACTGGGGGCTGAATCCAGGGCCTTTCCACTGAGTCGTATCTCCAACACTTTATTTTTTTTATTTTGAGACAGGGTCTAAGTCACCAAGTTGCCCAGCCTCTCTTCCAACCTGCAATCCTCCTGCCTCAGCCTGCCAGAGTGCTGGGATCACAGGTGCGTGCAGGAGGACATTTGCCATCAGACTGGGGCCGCTCACACTAGGTCACCCCTGCAGGAGCCTTGTTCCCAAAGCTCACATCCTGAGTCTCCAGTGGGCGTTGCTCTAGGGCACCAGTCAGCCCGCCATGCATGGTCCCTGGTTCCTCTGGGCTCGGCCTTCCTCCTGCAGGTAAAAGGACCTTGGTGCTGTCCAGGCGTGGGCGTGGGCTAAGGCATCCGCCACGCCCCTGAGGATCGAGGGCTGGAGGGACGGATGGTTGTGAGATGCCAGCTGACGCCCCGCCTCCCCAGTGGCTGTCACAGTGACAGACTTCTGTGAAATCAGGCTGGGCCACTCCTGTGCTCCCAGACCAGGACCCTTCAAGCTGGGCACAGAAAACACCCTGGTGCTGGCGAGCTGGCTGCTTCCCGGGGCTTGCAAGAAGGTTACTCCAGGTGCACTCCGAGACAGGAGGGACTGAGGTCCGCTGAGATCCACTCAGGCTGGAGCCAGCTCCTGCGCTGACCCCTAAGGCTCTGCGAGCTGGGGCTGTGCTATGCTGAGAAAACCAGCTCTCGCGGGGCACGGTTGTGCACAACTGTAATCCAGCACTCTCGGAGGCTGAGGCAGGAGAATCACAAGTTCCAGTCCAGCCTGGGCACGTTAGCGACTCAGCAGACCCTGTCTCAAAAAGTAAAAAAGACCTGGGATGTAGCACAGTATGAAGGCTCTGGGTTCAATCCTCAGAACTGGAAATGGGGGGTTGGGAAAGCAAGTTGGGTCTAATGGCCCAAGCAAAAGCTAGGCCAGAGGAAGGAAGTCTAAAGCTTAGCAGGAGAAAGCCCTGAGACTTTAGGTCAGTGATGGAGAATGTTTTAGAGCTTTCAATGATACAAACAGTCCCTGGAAACCTCCTGTGATATTAATCCAATTATTATCTTTGAAGGATGCCATCTGGGACTTGGTGGGGGGGTTATGTGGTGGGATGTGGGACTCATAGAGTCACAGCAGCCAGTTTGGGATAAGAGGATTTTATCCCAGTTTGGGAAGAGAGGATGAGGGATGAGCAGAGACTGGCAGGTCAGAAACGGGGAAGGTTCCTGGGTCCTCACTGATGTCTATGGGTGTCCCTGAGCCCCAGATTAGCCAATCTAGAACCTTCTCACAGGTACCTTTGGTTGGATGGAAAATAAATGCAGGATGGTTTGAGCCATCATGGTTCGAGCTTTCTGATAGCCAAGTGAGGCTCCTAATGGGTTCTTCCTGCCCCAAATCCAGTCCTGGTCTGCACAGCCTGGCTCCACCTGTCTTCTGGCTCCCCGACTCACCTGGGGCCTGGGCAGGGTCTGTGGTCACTTCCTGGGTAGGTGACCTTGTCTGATTTTCAGGGAAATGGGGACTCCAGTGGCCATCATGAGTCAGCACTGGACTGACCCATGCTCTAAGATGGGCTCCTGGGACCCTCACGGCCCCTTGGCCTCCCGCCTGTCTCCGGCTCTGGCTCCCTCTCCTGTTCCCAGGGTCCCTGTTACTCCGGCTATGGGGAGGTCCTCCATCTTGGCTCCTAGCAGGTCTGGGATGTTTTTCCTCTTATCTGACCACTGCAGGAGGCTGGTGTGCAGCTAGATGCCGCTTCATCCCTGGGGCCAGGATGGTGGGGCTTGGAGGGGTCCCCCCATCCCCCTTCTACCAAGGCTGACCTTCATGTGACCCCAGACCAGAGGGCTCAGGTGTGGCTGGGGAGCCCAGGCTGAGGGGAACCACTGCCCTCAACACTGGGAGGAAGGAGAGGAGGAGGAGAAGGGGAGGAGGGGAGGAGGGGAGGGGAAGGGGAAGGGAGGGGGAGAGGAGGATGACTCAGAGGAGGGGGGAGGAGGGGGGAGGGGGAAGGGAGAGGGGAGGGGGAAGGGAGAGGGGGACAGGACCAGGCCCAGCCAGCAGCACTTGGCCAGGCTCCAGGCTGCAGCCAGGTAGCCGGCTGTGCACCTCCCTCCCTGGAAGTGGGGGGCCCCCACGGGGACCCCTGTGTCACATGACCTATCAGCTGACAAAACAGGATGACTCAGCCGGCAGCTGTCGGCCCTCTGAAATAATGACAAAAACAATTAGCAATCCAAGCAGTAGCCTTTCCTTAATTATCTCCTCCGAGTTTAATTAACTAGCTAAATTATCAGCAGTAATGTAGGCATTAATTATGTCAAATTACAGTGTAAAACTCACAAAGTGTGGAAAATGTCAACTCAGCTTGGCTTACCTGCCAGGCAGGGGTGGCGGTGTGCGAACCTGACCGCGTACCTGTTTGTGCCCAGGGCCACGGGCCACCCGGGCTGGCGGCCTGCAGGGGACGGTGTCCTCCGGGCAGACGGACAGCAGGAAGGCAGGGGGACAGGGTGACCGGCCCCGGGGACGCCGATGGGGTGCTGGGAGGCTTTGGCTCAGACCAAGGGAGGGAAGAAGCTGCTCCCCGGCCAGATGGCCGGGATGCTGAATTATTAAATTATGAATATTAATACAAATCAGACACAAAAGAGGTAATAATTTTGCTGCCCTACAGAAATAATTAACATAATTTTGATAAATTACATGATAAGAGAATCTCAAAATTGAGGTAGATTTATCTTAATTAATATCTTAGACCACTCCGAAAGGTAAATTGTTCCTTGGGGGACCGGGGCAGGGTGAGGCCGGAGTGGGCTGTGGTCACCTCCTGGGACCCAGGTTTCTTGCTGTCGCAGAGCGGGGGCCCTGCAGAGTTTCTCAGGGCCTTGTGCCTCGGTTTCCCTTTCGTTGGCCCTGACTGGTTGGGGCAGCCTGGCTTTGGCCCAGGGCTCCCCCACACCTTAGGACTGTTGGCTCCTGGAGCTCGCCCCTGAGCACCCTGGGCAGTACGCTGGTTTCTGGAGGGCTGGGCTCAGCCTCGATTTCCTTGTGCAGCAGGAGGGGTCTGAAGAAACTCTGAGGAAAGTGGCTGCCCCTCCTGCCCCATCTCCTTGCAGGTGGCAGCCAGTCCCGGGGGAGGGCCTTTGCCAAAACACGACACCACCGGAGCTGTGGACCAGCTTCATGCAGTAGGCACAGGCAGCCCGGATCCCCACCAGCCCAGCAGCAGGGCCTGGGACCATGCGTGTCCCACAGAGGAACTTGTCACTTGGAGCTCTGAGGGGAGTGAGGACATGCAGCACCCACATGGACCCTCACAGCTGTCCTCCTGCTCCTCCCACTGCTCCAAGAATGCTAGTCAGGCAGCTTCTGCCCCAGGGCCTTTGCACTTGCTGGCCACAAGGCCCTAGAGCCAACCGCTGTGCCTTCTCAGGCTCTCGGCTGTTCTGTGGGCCTCTCCAGTCAGCCCGCTGGGATCCTGTCTCCTTCTCGACTACATTTTTCTTCAGATGTGGCCACCACTAGCCACCTCATTAGACACTTGGCCTCCCTGTAGCCTCCCTGACAAGATGTGAGCTCCTGAGTGGAGGGACTCAACTAGCCTTGTCCCCTGCTGTCCCCAGGACCTGGCATAAGAAGGTGTTGGGGGAAGCCGTGCTGGGTTCATGATGAACATGAC